CAAGTCTTGGGCTTGGGAGGCCCATCTACAACTGGACCGCTATTGGGCCGAATACAAAGCCACTGGTGGGCTATACAAATGAATAAGTGTAAAATCCGGTTCTGTGAGACTTCCGTGGCCGACAAGGCATGACCGATGAGGGCATGGCCGATGAGGGCATGGCCGATGAGGACATGGCCGACGAGGTCACCCAGTTCTCCGGGCTTCTGGATCATATTCTGAGTAGACCTTTTCATGGCCGATGAGGGCATGGCCGACGAGGTCACCCAGTTCTCCGGGCTTCTGGATCATATTCTGAGTAGACCTTTTCATGGCCGATGAGGGCATGGCCGACGAGGTCACCCAGTTCTCCGGGCTTCTGGATCATATTCTGAGTAGACCTTTTCCTGGCTGATGAGGGCATGGCCGATGAGGGCATGGCCGACGAGGTCACCCAGTTCTCCGGGCTTCTGGATCATATTCTGAGTAGACCTTTTCATGGCCGATGAGGGCATGGCCGATGAGGGCATGGCCGACGAGGTCACCCAGTTCTCCGGGCTTCTGGATCATATTCTGAGTAGACCTTTTCCTGGCCGATGAGGGCATGGCCGATGAGGGCATGGCCGACGAGGTCACCCAGTTCTCCGGGCTTCTGGATCATATTCTGAGTAGACCTTTTCCTGGCCGATGAGGGCATGGCCGACGAGGTCACCCAGTTCTCCGGGCTTCTGGATCATATTCTGAGTAGACCTTTTCATGGCCGATGAGAGCATGGCCGATGAGGGCATGGCCGACGAGGTCACCCGGTGATCGTGGTACCTTCTGTTCTTCTGAGTATGTGGGTCCTGGGGCCTAGACCCATATACTCCATCAGTAACACTTTCAATAAACGTTACAATTTTAATGTTACGTTAGACTCGAAAATGTAGTAGTGGATATTACACGAGTATAAGAGTATTGCTTTCTAGTTTCTGGTAATGCTTTCTCAAAATATCCGAATTTAGTGTAGTCAATTAGGGATGTCCTGTATATCATACATATAGTGATAAACATGGATTATGGATAGATGCTTGAACTTGAATTAGGAAGCTTGTAAATGTTTGTTGATAAGAAAAGAAAGCCTATTGATGTTTCCTGTTCTGTTAGTTTTGAACTAACAAAGTGTCTTGGTTATATAGACCGCAAGGATAGGTCTGTGAATTGCAGCCACGTTGCAATGTATGGTACACTACTTCCTCCCTGCCGTATAAATGTTATACATGGTTTACGATACTAGATTGGGCATAAACAGGGATGGATTTAGGGGGGGCGCGGGGGGCGATCGCCCCCCTTGGAATTTTTTTTTTAGTATATATATATGTAGTATTCTCGTAATTTTTGAATTTTACCTTGATCAGAATATTCAAAATCGCCCCCCTTAGGTCATTGAAAAATTTCAATTACCTTATAGGAAAAATATAAATTAGGATTAGCCATTAAATTTTTAATTTTAAAAAATATTTAGATTTGACCCAGTGCAAATAAAATACTGGCCCGGTGCAAATAAAATATTGGCCCAGTGGTGCAAATAAAGTCCACTACTCCACTCTACTACTCTAAGTTTGCAGCCCAAATGCTCAAGAAGAAAAGAACCAATCGGCAGGCCCCAGGGGAACACAAAAGAAAAGAACCAATCGACACTTCAGCAGGAAGAAGCACAGGCTGCGCAGCTCCTTCCCTCCCTCTGCGGAACGGCCGGAAATCCGTAAGCAACGCCAAGCGCCGCCCTCTGCTGCTCCGCGCGACCGCGACTGTCATGCGTCAGCGCCGCTCCTCGACTGCTCCGCCGCCTCCGCGGAAGTCTGGTCCTGGACTCCTGGCCGACTGGTTCGCAGAATCGCAGGTAAGCAATTTGTTGTAAGACTTGTAACCCTTCAGGCTTCAGCTTCAATTTCTAGGTTATTTATGAATTGAATATAAAGAGTAATTGTGATTTGTGAATTTCTAGGTTATTTATGAAATTAGTGGTCATATATATACTTCTATTTGCATTAGGTTATTTAAATTATTTTTGAAATTGTGAAATTATTTGACTTATTTCAAATGTCTAAGTGACTAAGTCACTAAAGTTTTTCTTTTTTGTATTTTCAGTTATGAATAATAAAAGGATTGATTCATATTTCAAGAGACCTTTACGAAGTATTGACCCGCCGACTTTAGTGTCACAACCGTCACAAGATCTTAATGATGAAGAAGCCGAAATTGCTTCTTCACAAGTGGGTGAGCGCCCATCTAAGACCTCTAGAGTTGAAATTAGAGACTTTAATATTTCTAATTTGGAGCGTGATCCTGGACTTCGAAAATTAATTTGGGATTACAATCCTAATGAACAAGAAGAGGTTCGCCGAGCTTATATTCAATTTGGGCCATATCAACCCATCCCCCCCAAATCTTCTAATTATGTTGATAAGAATGGACGACGATTTCTCCCATCTTGGTATAAGTTATTTCCAGATTGGCTAGAGTTTTCACCCAGCAAGAATGCTGCTTATTGTTTACCATGCTTTCTATTCAATAAGCCATTTGGTCGTCATGGGAGCACTTTTACTGTTGAGGGGTTCCGGTCATGGAAGAAAGTTAATGAAGGATCTCAATGTCCTTTTCTTAATCACATGGGAAAAGACTCGAACTCTTTGCACAAGAAAGCAGTTGAATCTTATCTTGACCTTGAGAACTCTTTGCAACATATAGAAAGGGTTATTGAGAAACAAACTTCACAACAAGTTGCAAGAAACATGTTACAACTCAAAGTGTCTATTGATGTTGTCAAGTGGCTCACATTTCAAGGTTGTGCGTTTAGAGGGTGGGATGAAAGTGTAGACTCAAACAATCGAGGCAACTTCATTGAGCTAACAAAATTGTTAGCATCTTACAATGAGGAAGTGAGATCTGTTGTGTTAGAGAATGCTCCAAGAAACGCGTCATACACTTCTCCAAATGTTCAAAAAGAGATTCTTTCTGTTTTGGCAACTAAGGTCCAACACTATATTCGAGAAGAGATTGGCGATTCAAAGTTCTGCATACTAGTTGATGAAGCTCGTGATGAGTCCAAGAGAGAGCAAATGGCGATTGTATTGAGATTCGTTGATAAAGAAGGCTTCATTCGTGAAAGATTTTTTGATATAGTTCATGTTAAAGAGACTACATCATTAGCTCTGGAGAAAGGAATTTCAGAAGTTCTATCTCGTTATTGTCTTAGTGTGGCGAATATTCGAGGACAAGGATACGACGGAGCAAGCAATATGCGTGGTGAATGGAATGGTTTGCAGGCCTTATTTTTACAAAAGTGTCCATTTGCCTATTATGTTCATTGTCTTGCTCACCGGCTTCAATTAACATTGGTTGCTAGTTCCAAAGAGGTGATTCCGGTTAGTCAATTTTTCTCATATCTGTCTACCATTATTAATTTGGTCCTTTGTTCTTGCAAAAGGATTGATCAACTGAGAGACTTTGAGTCATTACATATTGAGGAGATGATCACCAACGGTGATATTGAAACTGGTAAGGGGAAAAACCAAGTTGGCACTCTCCAACGTCCGGGAGATACTCGTTGGGGTTCCCATTTAACCTCACTTCGCAGTTTGGTAAGGATGTTTAATTCTACTTGTGATGTGTTGCGAGACATAATTAAATCTGGGAGCATGACACAGAGGAGTGAAGCTGATGGAGTGTATGATGTGATAACATCTTTTGAGTTTGTGTTTATTTTACATCTCATGATTGATGTGCTTGCAGTGACAGATGATTTGTCTCAAGCCTTGCAGCGTAAATCTCAAGATATACTGAATGCAATGCATTTAGTGTCATCAACAAAAGAGCTTCTCCAAAAAATGAGAGAACATGGATCGGATCTCTTACTTGAGAAAGTGAAGTTATTCTGTTCTCAACATGGAATAAAAATTCCAAATTTGAATGCTGCATACAAAGTTGGGCGAGGTCGATCCCGCCATCAAAGAAACAACAGAGATTGTCTTACATTGGAGCATCACTATAAGTTTGATATCTTTAACTCTGTTGTGGATAAGCTTATGCTAGAACTGAATTATCGCTTCAAGGATGATGTTGTAGAGTTACTTGTTCTGAGTTCTGCTTTGGATCCAAGAGATGATTATAAGTCTTTTCAGGTTGAAAATATGCAAACTTGTGAACAAGTTTTATCCTGATGATTTCTCTACAATGGAAAAGGAACACTTGAGGATTTAGCTGGAGCATTTCAAATTTGATGCTCAACAAAATCTAGAGTTGAAGAAAGCATCAACACTAGCGGAATTGTGTGAATTAATGACGAAGACTCGGAAGTCAAGCATTTATCCTCTTGTTGATAGGATAATCCGTCTCTTACTAACTCTTCCAGTTTCAACGGCAACCACAGAAAGAGCATTTTCAGCCATGAAAATTGTGAAGACTTGCCTCCGAAATAAAATGGAGGATGACTTTCTTTCAAGCTACCTGGTGACATATATAGAGAGAGACATAGCTCGGGGGTTTTCAACAGATTCTATCATTGATGACTTTGATCTTTTAAAAAATCGTAGAGTGCAATTTAGAATGCCTAACTTTCATACGTAGAAGGGGTTGAATGAAAATTCCTATTTTGTTGTTGTTTTTTGCTGAAGTTATGTGAAATATTATGCATTTGGTAATCTAAACATTTTAGCAAATATATGCTACATTTTGTAAATTCCGTATGAGTATGACCGTATAAAATTTTGCAAATTCGCCCCCCTTGGTCAAATTTCCTGGATCCGTCCCTGGGCATAAAATTAATTGATCACTATCTATAATAAAACAAAACTACTTGATGTACACGCCCTTGTACACAACTTATACACACCATATTTGACAAACTTTTTTTTGTCTGTGAATCCGATTAACAGACAACATTTTATTTGTGCAAAACGTTCTTTGGAGTCGATGTTCACACACAAAAAAAAATCTTTCACAAACATAGGTGTGTACAAAAGTGTGTATAAGAGTGTGTACGAAAGACTTTTTTTTGATAATAAAACTAGTTTTAGTAAACAAAATTCAAATATTAAGGAACTACATCAAACGTTTCATAATTCGCAAAAAAACAAATTCGATAAATATTAAATATATATAGTAAAACGAGCTTAATCATGATCATATCTAACGGCATCCCGAGGCCGAATCTCAACACCTTGGACGAATACAACTACATCATCCGAATCATTGCCAACAGTCGATCGCAATTCCACATCCTCATCACCTGCTCCGCTATAAAAAAAGGATTTGATTGCTATCTCCTCCCACCCGTCTTCTCTAGTTCTCTCAGAATTTCCAATCATAGTGATATTCTCAAAGGGATCACTACTGCTCGTGATGCTATAATCACTTGAATCGTCAACCCAGTCGTCGCACGTATCTTCCATTCTATACATCAAATAACACGAGTAATGTGTTTCCTTGGATAACAACATTTTATTTGGCATTTTGAAACAAATGTCTAACACACCTTTGTATAATTCCAGTTGTGTTACCTCCTTAAACCTACAAAATATACATGTGTTATCAGATGGCCAAAATATACATGGTTTCTTTTTCTTTATCTTGCTCTTCGTAAATTCTTTTTTATTTATCCATCAAAATACTAAAAATTTAATCGTATCTTTTATCTTCTCCCTATCATATTCAACCACTAATTTTTATCTGTAATATTTTTACACATAAAAATACTTTTTTGTGATATATTTATGGGATAAAGATCAAAATGGAAATCCAAATGAAAAATTGAGTTCTAAATCTGTGAAAATATTTGCCTGCAAAGTAACAAACCTGTCTTTTGGGTCAGGTCTGCTGTTTCGGACATCGACGTTATTATTGGTGCCAAAGAAAGAAAGGTCGGCGGATGCAATCATAACGCATTTCTGGCCAGTACACTTGTCCAGATAAAACATCTGTTTTCAAGTTTTGATAATACGGATTATGAGCTCATAGAGTAAGTAAATTACAAAAATTAACTTAAATTAAGAAAAAAATACATCAGCTAATTAAAAAAAAACAGCGGTAAAAAATGCAGTAACAGAAGTAATTGCACCTTTTTGCCTGCATCAAGGACAATAGGATTATCGCAGAGACTAAGAAATAGAAGCTTCTTGGTGGGCGGTAACTCAAATTGCAGTGGAATGGATGATTTGGAAATGATGTCGTCAATATCCGACGGCACAAATTTGCTCCAAGCAATATCGGAGTCTGATGCTGATTTGAAGCGTTTAGTGATGATAGAAAAAGTCGATACATCCGCCGGCGAAGTGAAGGAAAGAATTTCAGAGATGCATTCCTCAGGCAATTTTGCGAAGTTGTCCATTTTCTCGCTTTGATTTAAGAAAGCAGCGTATATGGGCATACTTTTTTGTTTCTAACTTACGAAGTGTTTATATGCAAGCAAAAAACGACTCTCGCGAAGTGTTTTGGCCCGGACCCGTATCAAACTGGCCCAGTTCCCGGCCCAACATATTCAAAAAAAACCCGGCTTGAACCGGCCCGGGCCCGATCCATGCCTAATTTGTATTAATGGTGTATTGGTGGTGCATATATATAGTGAAATAAGTTAAAGTTTATTATCTACGCAAAAAATGATTTTAGAAAGAAAGAAGTAGATGAATTGTGTAATTTAATGTCGATAAGCATTTATATTCTAGATTCATTTCACATGCTCTAAAAATTGTTTAACTAGTGTGTTTCACATTTAATATCGTTTGATATTTTACAAAATCGTGTACTACTTATCTAATAAAGATAATTAAACATTACAAAACTATGAATTTTTATATAATAGGTATCCTAAATATTAAACTATGAGTTGTTTTATTGCTTATTTATTTAAGTTATGTAAATTATTTTAGATGATATTCTTTTAAATCTCCAATTAAGTATTATATTATGTAAGGCTACATATTAACTTTGAAAATTCGAAGTTAAGGGGGTCGAAAACATATATGTCCAATTAAAGTATGAAAATATTACATATATAGTAAAAAAAATTGAAAGTCCAAGGGAGCGGTCACCCTGCCTCCCCTAAATTTGTCCCTGAATATGCTTAGTAACTTACCACTCGACCAACTGAGTTACTCGTACGGATTCGGTCTTTGAGTCATATTCTGTATTCAGTTATAAAATCTGTATTCAGAGTTTGTTTAGCTCATGAGTCGTTTAGTGGATCGTTTTGAGATTAAACATTTAAATTGGAGATTGAAGTCTCAACATTTAAATTAGACATTCAAAAAGGAATAAAACATACTCGTGCTATGTAGTACACTATATTATCTCCAACACAAATTGCACTTCATTTTCAAAATCTAACATCCATTTCTTTTTTGACTTTTGAGAAATTTTTATTACTCCCTCTGTCCCGAAATTATCTTCATTCTTTCCTTTTTGGTCCGTCCCAAATTTATCTCCTCTTTCCCTTTTTGGTAAAGAATATGTGGTTCACAACCATTCTTACACATTTCTCTCTCCTCTGCACAACTCTCCACCACACAAATCCCACTATCTTAATCCCCGTTCCCAGTCAAAACCGAAATTAATTATGGGACGGAGGGAGTATTTTGTGATGGATAGTGTACCCGGGGGGTAGCTTATCCGATGGGTTATTGCGGAGAATAACTAGAGAGAAGTCAGAGCAAATAAGTAAGAGAGAGAGTGTATATTCGATATGTATTAAGCGTGGTTTACAATGGGGGAAAGGGGTGCTATTTATAGTAGTAATAAATGCTAGATAAGGACACGTGTCAGTTTTCTGGTGGTCTAGGGGTCACCTCGACCGGGGTGGCACTCGCACTCGCATTTGGCCGCATTAAATGCGGTGGTTGGATGTGACGTTTGTACTTGGTACAGTGATCCAGGCGCATGTGAAGAGGATATTCTGTCGAGGTGGATGCCTTCGGCTGAAGGGTGCTGGGCCGAAGGCTCTTCTAACCGAGGGCTCCTACCTGCCGAGGGCTACCGGTGCCGAAAGCTTGGTTTTCAAGCCTTGTTCTCCTGTGATGCCTCTTCTAACCGAGGGCTCCTACCTGCCGAGGGCTGCAGTTACCGAAGGCTTGGTTTTCAAGCCTTGTTCTCCTGTGATGTTTCTGAGCTCGATTCCGTCACTGGTAGCCTTCGGCCATGGGGCCGAAGGCACCCCTTTGCGTATTGTGGGTTGCTTAGAGCTCCATTTTGCTGGGCTTGGCCCGTTTGGGCCTGTTGGGCCTGAGTGTAGTAGAGGAAGTATGTGAGCAGGGTGTCCCTGGGCCATATACTCCATCAGGAGTCCCCCACTCCTTTTGCCGAAAGGTACTTGAGGGAAAAAAGGAGTAATTTGTGTTTGTCCTCTGTCGTTGTTCCGTTTGTAGTTTGTAGAGTTGTGGGTAGTTTGCTGTTTGTTTATTCTGCCGAGGGCAGTCCCTCAGTTACCCACATGTCGGGACTTGAGGGGTCATGTTTGTGATTTTTGTGATTTTTCCCGAGGGGGTCCTCCAGTCCCCCACTCCTTGAGGCACTTGCAAAGTGGTGAAAAGGAGTAGAGTGGTTGTGTTGCTGTTTTGGGCCGAAGGCTGACGCTTTTCATTTCAATTTGGGGGGATGCCTCGTTAAAAACCTCATTAGGAAAAACCCTGTGGGAAAAAATCCTAATGAGGGAAAAGAGTGCACCGAATTCCCCCAACGATGAATCGAAAATGTGAAACCTTGGTTCGGAATGGAGAATAATGCAGGTGTCGAAGACTCTCCTCGTTTTGATGGCTCATGTGTTGATTAGTCGGAGGCTTGTTGTTGATGTCCTGGGAGATGCCGATGGGGGGTCCCTCAATCTGGGGATCGAGGGCGTAATGAATGATGGTAGCAGTTGAAGTGTTACCGGGCTGTCCCCTGTTTGTTGATTAGTTGGTGATGAGGATATCCGAGGGCTCCCATTACCTGTGTGCCGTAGGCTATCCGGCAATGAGGCATACTCCCCGGGGGCTACGCGGCACTCAAAGTGCTGAGGGGAGATCCCCGAGGGGCGGCCTGATATGAAGCCTTGGGCTTCTGAAGGAGTGATCCCGAAGGCATCTGTTATGTAGTGTGTGGGGCACAAACCGGGAGTGTCTCCGGGTAAGTGTACCCGGGGGCTCTTCTTGATGAAGCGGAGTGAAGTAAAAAGCCCGGGGGCTCCTAGAATATAGCCGTTGGAAATATAGCCGTTGGAATATGTAACGTCAGGATATAGCCGTTGGGGGGGTTGCCACGTGGTGCGTGCTCGTTGGTTGCCCGTGGGCGGGCGTCACCATTTGGGTGAAGCCACGGTTCGTAATGATGGCAGTCCAACCGGAGGCCCGGTTTCCAGGCCCAAGCCCGGATCCTTTTGCCTATAAATACCCCATGGCCGGACACTTCACTTTTGTGCGAAATCATTGTAGCGAAGCTCTGCTAAAATTTCTAGAGAGAAAAACTGCAGCCCTCGATCAAATTCTTGTTCCAAGGTTAGTTCCCCAATCGTACTTCACCTTCTTAGTTAGCTGTCTTTGTGGTCTTAGATTAGGGGTTGTAGCTTAGAGCACTTAGCATCTCCGAACCCTCGACTTAGTATAACAATGTCTTCACAAAGCGATTCTCAAGACATCTCGAGGGAGCCCTCGATGGAAGAGGAGAGCTTCTCGGATGAGGGGTCCTCGAGTGAGCAGCCCTCGGCCCAGGAGGATGTCGCGATGGCGATGGAGGTGCAGAAGGAGCTGGTGGCTGAAGTTGAAGCCGAGGGATTCGAGCAGGAGGCGGAGGACGAAGAGCTTGCCCTCGCCGTGCAAGTTGCAGAGGAGGAGGAAGAAAAGGAGATGATGAAGGTGACCGTAGCCGTCCTTCCCCCTCGGGGTGCTGGTGAGGCAGGGAGCTCTCAGCCCCTCAACCCGACGCCGATAAGAGTGGCCCACGGGAAAAAATCGGAGAAGAAGAAAACTGCCCCTAAGAAGAAAAGTGTTGAGCCTGGAAGTAGTGGCCCAACTTCTTGACGGTCCACACGATAGCCAACACTGTTTTTTCCACGGGGGAGTACCGGAGCTCCGCTTCCCTGAGGGTCTTGCTAACGTAGAAGATGGCATGTTGGATGCCATCCTCTTCCCGGATGAGTACAGAGCTGATGGCAGCCGGGCTGACACCCAAGTAGAGGTACAGGATTTCCCCTACCTTGGGTTTAGAGAGCAGAGGGGGTGAAGATAAGTATCGTTTCAGCTCCTCGAATGCCCCCTGACACTCTGAAGTCCACTGGAAACCGGCGGTTTTCCTCATGATCTGGAAGAAGGGTAAGGACTTCTCCGCCGATTTTGATAAGAAGCGGTTGAGGGCTGCCAGGCGGCCCGTCAACCGTTGGACCTCCTTCACGTTGCGTGGGGGCTCCATGTTGATGATGGCCTGGATTTTCTCGGGGTTGTCCTCAACACCCCTTCGGCTAACCATGTAGCCCAGGAATTTCCCCCCCTGGACGCCGAAGGTACACTTCTTCGGGTTCAGCCGAAGGCTAAACTTCTGCATGATGGCGAAGATCTCCCTCAGGTCGTCAGCATGGTTTGCTGACTGCTTGCTTTTGACGATCATATCGTCAACATATGCCTCCATGGTGCGCCTTAGGACAGCTTGAAATACCCTGGCCACCATCCGAGTGTAGGTGGCGCCTGAGTTCTTTAGGCCGAAGGCCATGACAAGGTAGCAGAAGATGCCCTCGGGAGTCATGAAGGCTGTTTTTTCAGCGTCCTCCTCATGCATGTATATTTGGTGATATCCGCGGAATGCGTCGAGGAAAGACATGATTTCGCACCCCGCGGTTTCATCCACAAGTTGATCAATATTTGGCAAAGGAAAGGGGTCCATGGGACACGCCTTTTTGAGATCCGTGTAGTCCACGCACATGCAGAATGAGGGCGGTTTCTGTGCGAGGACTACGTTTGCAAGCCATGAGGGGTATTTTACCTCCTTGATGTGCTTGATAGAGAGGAGCATGGCGACCTCCTTCTTCACAAATTCCCTCCTCTCGGCCGAGAGGGGTCTCCTCCGCTGTTGTACTGGTTTGGGTGAAGGGTCCACCGAGAGGCGGTGGGTGATGACCCTTCGGCTGATCCCCGGCATGTCCTCCGGCCCCCATGCAAAAACAATGGAGTAGGCGCGGAGGGCGCTGATGATGCCGGTCTTCAAATCTTCGGGGAGCTTGGCTCCAATCTTCACGACTCTCTCCGGCTTGGCCGGATCGAGCGCGAAGTCTTCTACCTCCTCGGCTGGTTCAGCCCTCGGCCTTCTTTCTTCCGCTTCCACAGTTCCGGTGATGGTGTCAACGCGGAACTCCGTCTTGCTAACCTTCTTTGTAACTTGAAGGTAGCAAGCGCGGGCAAGCTTT